GAATTATAATTATTGTTTAAATTGATTTTTATTAAAACCATTGCAACTTATATTTCGTTACGAACATTCAAAAATGTTATAAAATACAATAACAATGTTCTAAAATATAAACAGCTATTAATTCTATTACAATTTATTTGTCTCGCACAGCGTAGCGCGGACACCTTCATGGTAATGTTAATCGATGATTTTGACAGCTCAAGTTGAAATATGCAAATTTTTACTTGAATTATTTTTGATATGCTTTTAGTTTTTACATCTTCTATTTGTGAAAAAATGTATTAATATGCAATACATAGAGAAGCGAAAACATATTGCAAATTTATATGACAATAATATCATAAAAAGAGCGCCCCATTAATAGGAGCACTTTTTGCATTTGTCATTTTTCCGTACCTGAGCGCACGAAATCTCAACCCTGCCATTCGTTAAATGTAATCGCTTCCCGTTTAAAAGCTATTATAGCCTCGACATTTTTGTATTAGAATTTTCTTCTTAAAATATTGTAAAGAATCTACCATTAAGAGCAATTCCGGTGGTTTTAGGAGGTGTATACACACACACACACAAACACAAACACACGTACACGCACGCACGCACACACGCACACACAGCACACAGGGTGTCCTATACTCTCTTTCTCACATTAAATGGGAATGCAGAACGGGTTGAAGTGAACAAAAGTCCTATATCGTTTTGCGATATTTGCTTTAATAACCGAAAAATTACTTGTAAAAGCTTAAGGAAAATCGCACGCTGAATGATTGAGGGTGAAGCGCTTGCGGCCTAATAATATAGCGCACGGATGTTGGCGCGCGGTGATTGGAAAAACAACGTACCATTGCCTATACTTATATCGCTGCACTCCTACATCTTACCTCGGTGTGGCAAGACGTAGGATCAGAGCGATATAAGACGCGCGTTGATATCTGCCTGCTATATTACTAGGTCGCAAGCGCTCCTCCCTCAACCATTCAGCGTGCGTCTCTACTTAATCTTTTACAATTAATTTCTCGGTTATTGTAAATATCGCAAAACAGTATAGAACTTTTATGTTCACCTCAACCCGTTCTACATTCCCACTTAATGTGAGAGGAAGAGTGTGGGACACCCCTTCTCTCTCTCTCTCCCTCCCTCCC